TCTGCTTCCCGTATTTTCACGCAAAAATTGGACGCGGGAAAGTGTATGCAAATATTCGAAAAATTGTACATGACTTACAATAGAAAATTAAAAATACCCTTGAACATATCATACAATTCATCTGCTGAGAGTATGTGCTTGCTTTTGAGCTAGTCTGTTTGATACTCATAACTAACCGGTCTTTGCCTAAAGGACTTTTGCCAGTCCCTCAACTTGCAGCCGGTTCTCATTCGCACGCGAGGGTGTTTGTACACACTCGTTAACACAATTGTCACGCATACTCCGACGTCATTGAACCTGTACCACAATTCTGGGACTTGAAATTTGAACTATGACGCACATTCATTGCTTATTGGAATGGAAACTACATTAAGCCAAAGAGCAGTCCTACTTTATGAAATTGCAGAAAGAAAATGTTTTAATTATTAATGTAATTTAAAAGTTAATTTTTCACTAAGTCCTTCTTCGTAGTTCAGTTAAAGTAACGATCATGAATAATTTCTCCAACAACAATATTAGGAACAATAATGTTTACGAACATATCTTCTTCATAATTAATAATAATATAATCTAATTATTAGTAAGTAATTAAATTATTAACATTGTTGGGTAAAGGCTGCAATCGCGTATCATGTTACTATTTGGAAGGGCTGCCTACAGTTTAGACTGGCACCTCGTGTTTATTTAATTACTTTAGATTAAGGCAAGTGTTTTGGGGGTAAGGTGTCGACAGATGTCATTTGAGTGACGGCGTACGGTTGGCGTGCGTGTGTGCGTGCGCAGGTGCTGGGGTGTGGAGCGCGAGTCTTCGACCAGAATGGCGTCCACTTCCGTGGCCTTCGTGTCGCAGTAGCGGCTACGACGCGGTGCTCTCTGCTGGACGGCACATGCGCGACGACTTCCTCAACGGTTGAGTGCCCGCGCTTCATTACAGCGGCGGGCCCCCCGCTCGCTTCGGGGCTTCGACCCGCTACCGGCGCCCAAGGTAAGGTGTAGACTCTGGTGTGCGGCTGTGGGGACCTTTGGTGCCTGGACCCTTACTCTCGAGGCGCCAACCGTGATCCCCGAGCAGTCTGCCCGTTCTCGTGTCGCGTGGCTAGTGAGCTGAAGCACATGACCTAAAATGGTCATTGCAATAAGGTTAGGACATCCCGGCAATCTACACTGCCGTGCTCTCTTCTCGGAAGGTGCCGGGGGGAAGGGTCAATCCCGACCCTGGCGGGGTTTTCGGGAGGTGAGTTTCTTGTGGGTTTATCCGGAGGAGAATTCTAGCAGGCCGGGGATGCTCTTGATCGGGTAAGTTTTCTCTGGTTTCTCCGTGCATATCAGACCAAATGCCGGAGCAGTACCCTAACAAGGATGGCACCTCCGGCGCGCGAATCTTTCTTCCTCTTCCTGGTCCTATTCTCACTCCTTATACACACTGACACATGTGCACTACTTTACACCATGTGGGAGACGCGTCGAGAGTTAATAGTTTATGCCCGGCTTGGGGTTGTGCCTGTTGAGAGGGGTATTTAGAGGTTAGACAATTGTTAGTTTCGGCGTCAGATCTCGCCAATTTTCATACGCGGAGGAAACACCACTACGCAAACCGTGATAATGACAATGCACAGTAACTTGCGAGACTACTGGCCAAGGCACTAACGTGTCCAGCAAACGGGAAGTAATAAAACCATCAATCACATGTTTACTTGTGCATATACGAGGCTTATCTCTTGAGGCCTTACTGTTTGGTCCTGGTAATGAAAGAAAGGGACAAGGGTACATCCAGATGGCGCTGGATGGCAGTGACCCATAAGCCGTTCTGTGGTGCACCAGATCTGATCCCCACCTAACGCAACTTACTGAGGGCGTACAAGGAATTAGAATAGCATTTGATGTTCCAAAATACAATGGCGAGGTAGGAAGCAGGCCGGTTGCACGCAGCTAGTGACAGAAGCTGGTAGTCAACCGAATAACACTTGTAATTATCGGATAATATAGGCAATGTCTTCCCAGCCAACGTGAATTATAAGGACAGTAAATCTACAGGATATGTATTGATGAAGTTGAAGAGGCATATGTAGAAAAAAAACTCTTTTAATTTCTATTTATCATGAACTACTAACGATGCTCCCGATCGCATATTTCATTTACATTTGCTGATAGGCTGAGAGGACAGTGTTGTGGTGAACAGGTCTGAACACGCTCTTTACATTACCTAAAATTTGGTAAGTTTTCTAGATCTTCAAACCTGAATATCTTCTTCAACCGCCTGAAGATTCTAAAAGTAGTGGGACAGCAACCTCTATTTCCCTGACATCGTTCGCATTAGGCTCACCTTTGCGCCTAATTTCGGCGAGGAGGCTGAATCCTGGGAAATTGTGTGTGTGTGGTGTGTGTGTTTTGGATTAAAAAATCGTGGTTAATTCTAATGTTGCGATTACATGATAAGGAAACTAAATAAATAAAATTTGTTTACAATTTTTAAAAGAAAAATAAAACTAAACATGTTTACACTACAAACACTGTCTCGGACGTAGGTGAGCCAGGAGACTTTAGAATATTATTCAAGAATTATAAGTAATTAAACATGAACAAACTTTCAGACCTACATTTTTAAAAGGTTAAAACACTTCCAGTTCCTAGTCCATTTTGTCGACACCGTGTTCACAGCAAAGTTGTTTAACGCTTGACTTTTATTCTTCTTTATTAGTATTAATCCCATTAAGAGTCGAGAATACGCGCGCGGTCCTTGGTTACAGTATTGCTGGACTTGGGTCAACTGATGGGGGCGAAAAGCAGAGAATACAAGTCACATCACGAATAGTAAATCGCTCTAGAAACATCTCATCCGGGAGAGGTCGCTCTTGCTTAGGCATTCAGGGTCTGTGTTCGCTGGTCCACGATGTTGCTGCTCAAGACTCTAGCACTCCCGGGGACGAATTTTCTTCTAGCGAACTCGCAACTACTTACGCTAACGGCATTCGGTAGCCCACTGCAAATAGGCAACTAATAAACCCAAAGGGGTGTATGTGTTTTGTGTAATAATTCTCTGTAATGCCTATTTATAAAAAACTATTTCTCTGTAATTCTGTACCGCTTATTGTAAACACACAATATTTTCCAGCTGGGCAAAAATACATGAGGAATAAGATCCCGCTAGAATTTCTAAAGGATCTGGCGCGGATGGGGCGTTTTTTAAAATTAAAATTAGTTTGCTACTCATATATAATGTTCCAGCAGGGGGGGGGCGTGCCGGGGGCGAAAGGTTAGTCGGGGCGGGGCCAGGGCGACGATTGGGCCGGGCAAGCGGAGGTGCCATGTGAAGCGAGCGCCACTGAGAGTCAGGAAGGAATGAATGGACAAATGGGGTGTTGTTCAATATACGTTGGAACGGCACAGTTAGTTTTTCTCGCATCGCGCGTTGGTTTCTCCGTGGAAGAGCTCCGACGGCTCCCGCTGCGGCGCCTGTCATGCGGTATGCGGTGGCCTCGCCTTCGCTCTTTCCTCCTCCGCATCCCACGCATCTCCGCAACCTCACGGGATTTCGGGCCGCATTGCTCCGAATTCTAAGAACTTGCACAAACAGGACATGATCAGTTGTGGGTCTTTTTATCCTCCTCCGTTTACGGTAAGTCAAAAGAGTGTCCTTCAGTTATGACGATGAATCCGTCTAGTTGTGGTATAGATAGAAGGTTTATTGGAAGTGCAGGTCGTAGGAGGGAATGTAGTCATTTATTCCATTGCCTGCGCAAAGCAAATTCTCGGGAATGAATTATTCTAATGAATCACAGGATAAAATTGTTCTCTCCATTGTGTATTGTCACCTCTTCATGTATATCACCTGACTGACTTTTCGATCTTATTTCTTACATTTGAATGGATTAAAGATAATGTCATGAAGACCACTTTTGTCCAAAAACCCGGCAATGAAATAAATACATTCCAAATGTTTGCGTTACTCAAAATAGTAAGTTAAAAATTAAGAGTTTATTTAAGACGATTATGAACTCAAAAAAAGGTATACTAATATTGGAATCGACTTAAAATTTACTTGTATTCTAGATTCTTAGGGGTATATTAGATTCAAATTCTAGTTGTAAATGTATGCTGTGCCATGATAATCTTTATAATAAATTTTCTTCTCTGAGAACAGTTTATTACCTCTAACATTCATTCTTTATTGCTTTCATCTTTACTTCTCTCGTGCATTAAATCGATTTGAGATACGGTTTCGTATAAACAGGAATAAAATGAGTAAGTCTCAGGGCAATATAAGAATTTTGCGTTAAAGTCTGTGAATTTTGAAATCATTGGGACAGTATTGCTACTGAAACGTAAGGAAAGAGAATGACAGGTTGATCGCTACCGACGACGATTTAATGGATCGTACAAAGAATAAGGGAGGGGGGAAATAATTTTTGTATCTTAACCGTAGCCACCTCTTCTTTCCAATGAGCATGTACGTATTTCTCGAGTCCCTTCTATGCGTGATGTTAATTTTAAATATTCTTCATTTTTTCATGACAATCTACATCTTGGACAGTCATTTCTTTTCTTAGTTGTCGTTATTTCATTATAAGTAAATTTTCATATTGAATCTGATTTAATCAGAATCATTTATTCACTATCTTACCTTGTACTTCGTGCTTGTCTAAAAACGATTTCGTAAAACAATGTTTTTTTTAATTTAATAGTTTTTACAACGTAACAAACCTATAATTTAAAGAACATTTGGTTGTCGAATTTGTGAGTATTGACAATATTATAAATTGTGACATTTCCAAGTTTAATTCATTTACAGTTTTAACAAAGATTTCACGCAGATCTCCGATCTTATTTATAACTATTTGTTTTTTACATTACCTGGAAGTGTGCACGGAAGGATTTTGAAACATAATAATAAAACGCAATTTCAAAGACTGTCAAAGTTGTTGATTGTAACATTAAAAGAATATAATTTGAAGGAGTCGAGAGATTCTTTCAAAGAAGAGCCTTGTCTTGCGGGTGCGCAGGGCTGGACAACCTGCACGAGTATCTCAAGTTCTCGTACCCGCGCATGCGCGCGCCGTCCTTCATCTGCGAGAACGAGACGCGCGAGGGCCTCACGCTGCACTACCGCAGCCGCCGCCGCGGCTTCGTCTACTACACCATGGGCCAGATCCGCGAGGTGAGCGCAGGTGCGCTGGTGCCGGAACGCCATTCCGGGTGCATTGCTTGCTCGAGCTGCGTTCACGCGATGTGTCTTTGCGGCATCAAATGGCGTGCGTGAAATTGAAAGACGCACGTACAACTTGACGAATATGCGATATACTACCCACAATGATACTCCTTACCGTTCAGTGGAAGCGAAGGTGCTTAGAAATTGTTGTGCCTGAAGTTGGCACCAGACAAAGGAACAATTGTAGAAAAGTATTTGTGAGAAGGAAAACTTTAAGGAATCGGGATGACAAAAATTAATTTACTTTGAATGGTAATATCGATATTATGTTTTGTCCTAAAACAGCAATATAATTCTATACGATTTCCTTCTAAATACGTAACCTCAAAACAACGAAAGAAGGCTTTAAAACAATAAGACATTGATTGTTTTGCTCTTTGGGGCAAACGCCCGGTCAAGACGGGCGAAATTCCCGTCTCCTGCGACAAGCCATGGGCTGTATAGGAAAACCTTTCGTTCCGAGAAATGATGCATGAGCAAAACGCATGTGCAGTGGGCGCTCTTACATCCATTTGACGCATGCGCAAAATTGAATGAAAATACGCATGGTGCAGACACAAAATGCAACATTCGTATGTATCAACAGAAAGAAAGGAAATAAGAAAGAGAATATGAAACCGTCTGATTCTATTGTTAGCTTACAAAGTGAGTCATTCAATTTCGTACATCTTCACTCTTCACGGAAATTGTATCGTGTATAAGATCGCTATAAGATCGTTAAGTTATCAGATACAATGTTTTATTCCTCTGTTCAGTCGGTGCAGCACCTGTCTCGTTGAGAGAAGCTCTTGGGATCTGATCACGAATGGGTTAAATGAGTTGGTAACATTATAAGCTACACAATCCCACAAAAAGCCTCTCGCTATTCGTAAAAATTTCAATTTTTTAACTTTGATGAAAGTGTAGTTTATCTTTTACTACCATATTATTTGTTCATGAACAGCTTAGGACAATAGCAAGGTGAGAATCAATTTAATCAAAATTGAGATACCAACATTTACGAATAGAGGAAGTCTCGCATTTTTATTGCTCAAACTCTACAAATAATTGCATTTCGTGATAATTAACTTTTAATATAGTTATTTTAGGATGCTAATCTTTGACAAGTTAGTTTCAACTGTTAATCAGAGGGGATACTTTCTATAAAACATGATAAGTGGAGAATCTGATAATTTCATTGCTCTGAAAAACTCAAGGAAAAACCCAGAAATTGCAGAAAAATCATTAGAAGAGAGGGACATTTTCAGACGGTTATGTAACTAGATATTACTCCTTAAAAAGAATTATTCAAACAAAAATAGTGACTCAATATTTATTTGTTGTGATTTAAAAAAATATTCTTTATCTTAGTATCAGTCCTGCTTTTATATTTTTTACAAGAGAGTGAAATAATCTGCAAGCTTTTCAGTGAAAGAAAAAGCCCTGGCAAAACGGGAAAAGTCAGGGGAAAACTGTTCCAGGAGATGAGTGGTTCATACGCGTTAGCTGCTTTCGCAGAATGTCTTGCTGTCTCTCCCTGAAGGGCGGTGTGTGCGTAGGTGGCGCGCCACTTCTACCACAAGGAGATGCGCATCGAGCTGGTGCGCGAGGAGCTGCTGTTCGACACGGTGCACGTCACCTTCCAGCTCACCTTCGACAACCGCGCCTTCACGCTCTCCTCGCTCACCATGACGCGCGAGGAGCGCCACCTGCCCATCTCCGCCTCCATGCTCTTCGAGATCTTCCCCTTCTGCATCGTCTTCGGGTGAGTCTGCGGCAGCCACGACCCGGTGGCGGGGCCACACGTACTGTAGAGTGCGAATTTGGGTGGGGTGCGAGTGTGGGGTGGGGTGCGACTGTGGGGTGGGGTCCGATTATGAGGTGGGGTCCGATTGTGGGTTGGCGAGCGAGTGTGAGTTGGCGTTCGAGTTATATTTTATTTATTTTTATTAATTTGCGTCAAAAACAGTTCAAAACTATGTGTGATGCGCTATGGGCAGACGTTAATTTGAAGTTACATTGATATCCAAAAGCAAAAAAAGGGGCCATCTCAGTACTTGCTCGAGGATCAGGAAAACTGGACGAAAACCTGACCGAGATGGAGGTCATTGATCCAGAAGCTGAAGTACAATACTTGTTACAGGTTCTTTACAATTATACAATCCACATTATATATAATACATTAAATGTCATTGTTAAAATTAATATTACTTTCTTTTTGGATTCGCGGTAAAGTCTAATTGAATAGAAACAGTTGTGCAGCAGAACTGATTTTACATGGGACTTGAACTTTTGTATCGAATTTAATCGTTTAATGTCATCTGACAAGATGATGTAAAATAATGTACATGTATTACATGATGATTTTTTGTAGTGAGCCGTTGATACTGCTACCAGATGAATATGATTACTACGTCGAGTGTTGTAGTTATAGACAACGGCGTTTGCTGAAAATATATTCCCGCCCTCAAGTAAGTGATTTTTGACAAAAATCACTGATTCATATATCACGAGACAAGGTAATGGTAAAATACCTAGTTTAATAAAGAGAGGCTTACAAGAATCACGTGGGTGGGATTTTCTTATTATCACCATTCCATTCCGCACCATTCTTTTTTGTAATCTAAAAGTCCGGGAGCTATAAGACGCATTTCCCCAGAATATTATGGCATATCTCAGGCGGGAATGAACATTCGCGAAACATGCACAAAAAGCAGTGTGGAGGCAGACTCAATTTCAAAGAATTCTGAAAGCGTAGCATAAAGAACTTAATTTAGTGTTCAATTCATTTAAATGGACGTTCTATTTAAGGTTTGACTGAATTGAAAGACCTAAAAATTTTGTCAACATAACATCAGTCAATGGCACGCCGTTCATTTTCAGTGAAGTGCCGTGCTGTTTATTTGAGATGGAGAACTGCATTGAAACAGTTTTCTTTCCATTTACTATTAATTTGTTATTACGAAACCAATTTGAAACATCTGATACTGCACTATGATATTTTACTATTTACGGTTTTTTTTATCAAAGAACATTCGTATGGTCCGTAAAGAGAACTGTTCTTCCGGAGGTCAGAAAGTCCGTGTCCGTGTCGGAGAATTGCCAGATGTTTTAGACATTCCTCTACTATCATTTGAGTGTCATCAGTGATATTGATTCGCCCCTGAAGTGGAATTGCTAGAGTTATAGGTCTAATTATTATTTACTTCATATGTAAGCTGTAGACTGTATAATATCGCTTAACATTATAAACCCCTTTCATGAAATAAATATTAAATGAACGCTACGGATGTAATTTCATGACAGCGCAAAGTAAAAATGGAGAGGGTAAGTGGAGAATTTGAAAGCTATAAATAAAATATATATTATGTATTGTCATAAAACTTAAGGAATAATTTCATTTTCACGGCTGCACCGATAAACCTTCAGCGCACTAACGAATACATTTTTCCTTTGTAGTAGAGGTTTTTGTTCCTTTTATAATCCAAAAATTTGGAGAATTTTGAGAACATTTTGCAAATGTCATAGGTTCTTCATATTTCCTCCAAAATCAATATACCCATTTCAATATCGCAGGCCTTGAGTTCGGCCAGATCCGTCGAAGAATATGAATTTTTGAGAAAATGGTCTACACAGTTTAGGCGCTGTTCTGGACGAGGCCAGTCGGCCGGAGGTTTTCCCCTAAACCAATTCCTCGTTATCAAGTATCCATAGAATGAGGACACTGATTTCACACATGTTGGAGAAAGTTTACTACATCAAGAACTTGGTGTATTTACTTTTTCTATATCGGGGCCCCACAATATGTTTGTACTATATCATTGCAAAAAATCGTCACTTTCTGCTGCGTTACAATATTTCCCTTTACTAGCAAGCATGTGGTAGGCGAAACAGGATAAATCTTAAGATATAACTTGTTTTCTGCTCCAACAATTTGATTTCTATTTAGGAGCGCCTGTTGCCTTTGTAAAACCCTGATATTTACATCATTGCTATTACAATTAATTGATTTGATGCAAACGAAAACTATTGGTACTTACTACTGTGTGTCGCTTTAGATAATTACGCTGATTGACGCAAAATATTATAATATAAAATATCAATGTATTTTGTGCCGTTCATCGCAAGTAGAGGCGATGTATATTCATGTTTGAAAGTCTGTCTTCTCAAAGATTTGAAAGCGAACTTTTTAAGGAAATATTTTATCTCTTCGATCGACTTGCTCTTGCGTATAAATTTACTGTGTTATGAAAAGAATAACAAACAAGACAAAGAAAACTTTAAGTTCAATGCGGAACAACCTCCGCATGCCAACCTTCGGTATTGACTTTCGGTCGAAAGTATTGACTTTCTTTTGGAAGCAGAATTTAGAAATATTCTCTTCAATAGTTTGATTATATTTTTTTTAAGCTATGAGAGAATTGTGTGACCTAGAAATGTAGTAGTTCTTGCAATAAAAGTGTGAATCGCTTTTCTGATCCGCGATTTCGGATCTCTGAACGTAAATAAATAGATTAAACGTCGGCCTTCTTTAGTAAAGCTGGCGTGAGCTTCTCTACTACCCACTCTGAACAAGCAAGTTCTCGATGCCGCGACAGCTCCCAGTCATATTTATTATGTAGCTCTACGCGACCCCATGTGGAATATTCTGTAATATCAATTATTCAATGCAGAAATATGAACGTTTTTTCGAATTAGATAATTCTAATTCCGGAATGGAATGTTTTGTAACTTCAAAATAATATGACGCTGTTTAGTTGTTGAAATTTGGTATTCATAAGCAATTAAGTGCATTTTCCCTAAATCGTTTATTAGTAGCATTTAAAATAAAATAATAATTTGCACTGGAAAAGAGGCAAAAAAATGGACAAGTTCTCAGGTGCGACGACGATGTTTTCTTGGAGGGGGCTGTAGTGCTTAGCCATCTTGATGTTTTCTTATAGGATTTTCCCTGTATTCAAAATATAAAATGATTGTTGACTTAAAGTTAGCATTTGCACTTTTAACTTCATTGAATTACTGTCGTTGGAATGAGTAAAAGCTGTATTTTTTAAAAACTTTCTTTGACTTGTGGGTGTGCCACTGGATATGAAGTAATAGTGATAAAGGACTCAACATGAAAAAATATTGTATCAAGATTTTTACCTCTCGAAATACAAATAAAAATAATTTGTTTGGAATGTGTTGTTTTGCATTTTTCATTGAATTTTGTCATATTTAGGGAATATGTGCAATTTTCTGTCAAGTCTTGTTACATTCAAAGAGTAAGCCTCTTTTAAAGCACGAGTTGATTACTGTCTTCCCACTGACATCCTCGATCGAAGATAAGATTCAGAAATCTGTTTGGGGTATATCACTTTAGAGCACAAAGTGTTAGTGATTTCGGTTAGAAAAAGATCCAAGAAGAAAGGGAATGGGGAATGAACGTCAATCTCCGTGTGTGGTCGAATGGGGTCGGCTCGATTGCGGCATTTGCATGGAATAAAAGGCCATGACGGCACCTCTAAACGCAACGCGAGTAACCAAATTAGAAACTTTCGCCGCGGTTCATATGCGCGGCACGCGCTGGTTACAGAAATACAATTCGCACCTGGCTGGCTGGCTGGAAGGCTGGCTGGCGTTTGCGCTTGGCAGCGGGCGGGCGGGCGCAAGGCGCGTCGAGGTGCGTTGCCCACCCGAATTAGCGGCGTCGCTCCTTAATGCAACCGTAAAGAGCCTTCGGCGGCACCCCGCCTCGCCTCGTCAGCTGCGAGGAGGCCGCTTAGAAGGCGCGAGATGCGACGCCCTTGGCGCGCTGAACAATGGAACGCTTGCCCTGGGCAGGTGCAGTCACGCAACCCCTCTTTGGAATTGCAATCGAGACGGCGATGGAATCGATTCCTCTCCACACCTCTACCGTCACACCGGTTTTATTTAATGCTGCGTTGCCCCACCTTGAATACGTCCAATGCCCACGTTTAATTGCCCGAAAGCCAAAATTGATTACACTGCTATGTTTCTCGTGTAATTAAGATGATTGCCATCATGTACTGAGATCATCTATGAGATCCTTACCTTAGAGTGGAGCACCATGTATTCTGCATTACTCAATGTTTCTGCGGGCATTGCGATTTCTTTACGTCCTCTCTTCTTCTTTTCCTTCTCCTTTTTTTCTTCTTTTTCTACTTCTACTATTACTCACTACTACTACTACTATTACTATTACTATTACTATTACTACTACTATTACTATTACTATTACTATTACTATTACTACTACTGCTATTACTACTACTACTACTACTACTACTATTACTACTACTACTACTACTATTACTACTACTACTACGACGACGACGACGACGATACGACGACTACGACTACGACGTGTTGTCTTAGTGAAGAGTTTCTGGAGCGCAACCGGAACATATAATAAAATAAAAGTAAATCTCAGAATAAAATATAAGATTTATATTCAGATGAAAATACTAAAATTATTCTGATTCATACCAACAGAAAATATGTACATTCGAAAGATCGCGCATGATTTATGACCCTTTCATTAGAGAACTGCTCAAGCCTTGCCACCTGCAATTTATCCTCCAGACAACGACTAAATTCGAAGTATCTAGTATCGAAAATCGACCACTGCCGGGATTCAAACCCTAGAAGCTCCAGTTCAGAGTGGCTGCAGGAACTACGTCAATGCGTGCTAACTCAGCCGGTTTGCATTGAATGGAATGCAATAAACCTCGAAAGCTTGATGCCGAGCGAATGCAAGGGATG